AAAAAAAGTTTAAAAAAGTTAAAAAGACAGAGAAAAACCAAAGCACAGCTACTACAGAACCAAGTACAGACAGAGATGAACAAACACAGTCCACCAAGGGTTACAAAGTGTAAACTAAGCCTGAGCATTTGAATCATGTTTATGTTTCAATAGGGAAATCGCCATTCATTTTGAAAACTTAAATCCACAGTGCTGTAACTGCTTTACTAGCACTTAAAAACACACTTAGATTTTTATCATGATTTGGACAAGAACAGCAGGTAGGTAACAGGAAGAATAATCATGAAACATACTTTGGTGGCAGAAGTGTTTCTCCAGATGTGGAATTTCCAGAAGCAATTAGAGCCTGGACCTGAAGGAAGTGGATTTCGAGTGGAAGCTGGTTTGCTGATCGATTTTGCATCTCATGTTTAGACAGGAAAGTGAGAGATGTGGGCCCATGGTTTGATCCTTTTTATGGCAGAGTAGTATTCCACTGTATAAAAATACCACATCTTCTTTACCTAGTCATCTGTTGCTTCATTTAGGTTGCTTCAATGTCTTGGCTATTTTACAGAGTGGTGCTTTGAATACTGAGGTGCAGGTATCTTTTTGCATTGGAGTTCCCTACAGATAAATACCCAGAAGTGGGATTACTGTATCATAGGGTAAGTCTGTTTTTTTAGTTTTTCGAGGAATTTCCATACTGTTTTCCATAATAGCTACACCAAACTACATTCCCACCAGCAGTGTAAGAGGGTTCCCTTTTCTCCACACTCTCCAGCATTTAACTTCATCAGCTTCTGAGTGATGGCCATTCTGACTGGTGTGAGGTGATACCTCATTGTAGTTTTGATTTGTGTTTCTCTGGTATTTAGTGATACTGAGCAATTTTACATGTGCCTATTGGCCATTTGCAGTGTTCATTGGAGAAATGCTTGTTTAGGTCTTCTGCCCAATTTTGGATTGGGTGTTTTGTCTTTTGTTATTAAGTTTTATGAGCTGTTTATATATTCTGGAAATTAAGCCTTTGTGAGTCGAGTCATTTACAAATACTTTCTCCCATTCTGTAGGTTGTCGAGGGTGGGGCTCCGGGGAAAGGATGAGGGGCGGGTTCCCCTCCCGATCTCAGGAAATCTCCCAAAGCAGCAGCAGCATGGCCAGCCTGTCACTGACTCAGGCAGCCCAGGAACCATTCAAAGCGCCCGCGCCAACAGGTACCCGGCGCTCGCGATTGGCTGGGCCGGACCAGCGCCCCTGGGTGGGGCCGGCCCCCACGCAGCGGCCGCGGGTCCCGCCCCCAGAAAGCGGCCGCTGGTCACGCCCCGCTGGTCACGCCCCGCTGGTGCGCATGCGCGCAGTCCGCACAGGAAAGAGTCTGCGCACACCCTCGCCCGGCCTCCTCTTCGCGCTGTGGCTCCCTCCCCTGTCCGCGGAGGCTTGTCGGCTCGGCGAGACAGGAAGAGCTGCGGCCGGCAGGGGGCTGTGCGGACCCAAGGCGGCTGTGGTGGGTCGGCCTGTGGAAAATGCCAGCAGGCGGCGCATCGGTTGGTGCTCCCCGCCCCCCCCACCCCGGAACCCCCTGCGACGGCCAGGGAACAACCCGCCCACGCACGGAGTACCGCACTGAGACGCTTCGGCGGGAACGAGGCCGACGGCCGGCTGTGCCGGTTGCGCCCCTGAGGTGAGTAAGGCGGCGGCGGCGGCCGCGGGGCGCGGGGAGTTGGGCGCCAGAAGGAGGGAGGATGCGGCGGCTGCCGCCCTGGGTCCCCACGGGGGGAGGGAGGTCGCGCGGGCCACTGCGGGGCGGGGAGGGCGGTGGCCGGCGGTCTGGGAGCCGGGGGTCCACAGCTGTGGGCATGGGGAGCACCCCGGAACCCTTGTGGCTCCCCACCCTGAGCACCCCGGAGCCCTTGTCGCTCCCCACCCTGAGCACCCTGGAGCCCTTGTCGCTCCCCACCCTGAGCACCCTGGAGCCCTTGTCGCTCCCCACCCTGAGCACCCCGGAGCCCTTGTCGCTCCCCACCCTGAGCACTTTGGAGCCCTTGTTGCTCCCTATCCCTCCCGTGGCCCCAAATCTGTGCCCCCTCCGCTTGGGCGCTCAGGTGACGGTCGCGGAAGCCTCCGAGGACTCGGGCCACCGCCAAGGCCACCCCGCGCCCGTACTCTCAGAGTCGCCAGCGCCCTGCATGCCTAGAGGGGGCTGGTGCCCTTGGCTCCCGCAGCCCCCCAACTGATCTGACTCTTTTACAATTTGGAAAATCTTCCTTTCTCACAAGGTAGGTTCTTTTTTCATTATAGGAAATAATAACTCTCCTTTGCCAATTTTGTTTTCTGGTAGTTTGTTTGACGTGACAAAGGGATGATTTTATTCTTTGGAAAGTCTAAGCCAACCAAATGCATAGTGACATTGAGGTCCAAGGCCAAAAACATCAGTTTCTTCCTAGCACCGATTATGCTCTGGACATGAAAAGCATAAAAGTAGCAAAGAGAGGCACCCTTCATTACAGATCTTTAGGGTGCTTAGTGGCTCGTTTGGCTAGCATTGGAGTTATAGAGAAATAGGAAAGACATCGCCTAATGTGTTCTGCAAGGTGGCTTTTTGAAGAACTGTATACTCTGCCCTTCAAATTCTTTCAGGTTGCTTTTATAGAATATAAAATTGAGTGTGTTAATATATATTTATGTATAATATATATTTTGTTGCATATAAATATGTATATGTTGAATGGAACATGTCTATATTCCATTCAATATATCATCATAATAAATGACCAAGAGAATTAGGTTTCTCAAATAAAGATAGCTTATGAGTAGCTTTCTTTCTGGAATAAATGAAATAAGCTTTTCATCCTCAGTATCTTTCCTTTGAAAATGGGTGTGACTTCCACTCGTTCACAATTTGGGTGTTCCTTCACCCCCTCTCTGTCTCTCAGCAGCTGTCTTGTCTCTCTCTCTCTCTGTTTCTCTCTCCCTCTGCCTCTGTGTGTTTCAGTCTCTCTGTCTCTTTTCCTGGATGCATGTGCGTGTACATTTACGTGCGTATCTGTGTATTTACGTGTTTGTATCGTTACGGCCCAGGGCAGGCCACTTCTGAAAATGCCTTGATGACATAGTGGTTCTTTTCATGTTGCTGAAGTAAAAACTTGTTTGCAAGTTGTGCTACCACTTTGGTGGGGTCAGCTCTAAGGATCAGCACTGACGGGGAAGGGCTGCTGCGCCTGTGGCCCTTTGATGCATCCTGCACACTGTTTCCCTGGAGAGGAATGTCTGTTCTCTGGTCCCTCCGGGGGATCTGCTGGGGCCTCTGCCTCCTCACATTGTCACCAGTGTTGGCTGTCACCAGGCTAAAGACCTGCCAGCATCATGGTGACCAGTGCTGTCTCCACAGTGTGTCCGTCTGCCTGTGTCCTCCCCCGAGAGGTCGAGCACATGTAACACACACTGGCCACCTGCTGTGCCTCTCGTTGGAACTGCCTGTGTGTGTTGTGTTTGTTTAGAGCACTGGGTTTCGAGAGGTTCTAGGATCCCGGGGATGTGTAGCGTTTCTCCAACATTTGGTTCTGAGGAACGCTTCTTGCGGGTCGTGGAGTGTCTTTCCGGGTATATTTCTGGGCTTTTGCTGGTTTCTTGATTTGCGTGGTTTTGTTTTTGCCCCAGGAAGAGCTAAGCATCTCCCTTCTGTCTTGTGGCTGTGGCGTCCCAGGGGGAAGAGCAGCGCCTCCCCCGAGGTTATGCAGAGAGTTACCGAAAGGGCTTTATTTTGCACATGACATCTTTAGCCCACCTGGATTTCCCTTTCCAATAATCAAAATGCGATTTCAAGTGAAAACAAAAGAAAACATCACCAGCCCCCGCTTAAGCCACGTGGGCAGGCACGCAAAGCCAGCTTTCCTGTGGCTTCATTGACAGGGAACACCCAGGAGAGGTAAAGACACCCAGAGGGGAAGAGGACTCGGGGCTGTCAGGGGCTGGGGTGGGGTGGGGGAGGGGGGAGTGCGTGTTCTGGATCCAGTGTTTTACTTTGAAGAAAGGAGTGGTGTCAGCCTGCATGGTAGTGTTGGTCGCACGGCATCGTGAAGGCACCTAGTGCTCCTGAATTGCACAATTTCAGAGGGACCAAGTCTATATTTTATTAAAGGAAACTTAAAAAGGCAAAAGAAAGGATGCCATAACCGATATGAAACAATTAGAGGGAAGTGAAGAAAAACCAAACACAAATAACTTCAGGGGAAGGGAAGTCAAGGTCAGGTGCGGGAGGGGATTCTTGGTGGGATTTTGAAGAAGAAGGTGCGGGTGGGCGCAGAGGGGGCTCAGCCCCAGGGGCTGGTGACGCCTGAACTGGCACTCCGTGGTCCAGCGGTCCAGCTGCAGGTGCAGCATCTTCAGGACGTTCGGAAGCAGCGGGAGCTGCGGGGTCTTCAGGAGCAGCAGGAGCTGCGGGACCGTCAGGAGCAGCAGGAGCTACTGAAGCGGCAGGAGCTGCAGGATCTTTGGGAGCAGCGTTAGCTCAGGCCACAAGGTCGGGAGGGGATCCTGGGCCATCTGGGTAGCTCAGTGTGACCACGTGGCCCCTTAGAAGTGGACGAGGCAGGCGGGGTGGTCAGGAAGATTCAAAGCATGAGGTTGCTGTTTAAATCTGAGTGGCCACAGCCAGTCTAAGGTTAGGACGCCGCTGCCATCAGCTAGTGAGTAAGCGATCGGCACTCCCACAACCCACTCCCATGGGCGCTGAATTCGCGTCTACCTGAGTGAGATCGTCCCTGAGCCTCTGGGCGAGAGCCCAGCCTGGCCGTGTCGGGACATCAGATCCGCAGAGCCGTGGGACACACTACGAGTGTTGGCAAAGCCATGGAACGTGTGGCCAGCTGTCACCACGGCCACGGGAAGCCATCGGGGCCTCGGCTGAGACAGCGAGGTTCCCCTTTGTGAGCAGCACCTCCTCCATCATCAGCAGTTCCAAACCCTACCTGCTTCCTGCGGGCACAGGGGCCCCGTTCAGCCATAACGTTCCTTGGGGTTTGGTCAACAACTTCCTTTTTATTTGTGATTACACTGTATGATACTGCCTTAGTTATTTTTAACCTTGTACAATACTCGTGTACAAATGTTAGCGCCTTCTAAGTAGGAGTCTCTCTAAATTATTTAAGATGCTCTGTAAATAGTGCACCGCTTGCAGGTGCTGCCTGTTTCCTTCTGACCAAGATGAAGACAGGCACGACCGCCTGTGTGGACAGCCCGCCGTAGCCGGTGTGTGAGGTTCCCAACGCATCACACCCTGCTTGGCGAGGCTGCTGCCCTTTGGAACGACCCCTTCCGTGTGTCCCCTCGAGACCCTTGCATGCCTCTTGTGCTCCAGCCTCAGTAGAGTAGAGGACAGCCTCGAACTTCCAAATGCTTCCATGGACCCTGACCCTGGGCCAGTCCACTCCGGGGTCTGTGTCCTGCAGGGTGGACCCCCAGACCCAGCCACCCTGAGCCTGCCATGTTTATCTGACTCCAAAGCCACCAGGGCTTCCAATATCTTCTGTCACTAGAAGCAAAAACTAATTCTAAAGTGTAGAGACAGGTCTGGTCCAAAGCAGATTGGTGATTCAGAGACAAGCCACGTGTACAAGTTTCCCCAGATTGCAGGGCACTGTGGGGGCTGACACCCCCAAACCCTGGCTGATGGGTGGACTCTGGGCTCAGGCAGGATCCGGCCAGCCTTCTGAGACGCGATGCTCTGTCTGCAGCTGATAGAAATCCTGCACCATCGTCCCAGGAGCGAGCTGGATAGAGTGCTTAGATTCCTGCTTTCACCTCTCTCTCGAGAAGGAAGGGCTGGGTTGGCCTGTCACCATGTCCAGGTTCACCCCCTTCAGGTGGTGACCCATCTAGGTTCCAGGGTGCGCCCACCCTTCTGCGTGGTGTGTTCTGTGATCGCCTGAGTTGGGATCCTGCTGGTCTACCCGCGTGGCCAGCCCTGCCCCTGACCTGCACACATGACTCGTAAGGCAACCGCTGCCTCTGTGTGTGTCGCCCACGCAGGAAATGCAAGGTCACACTGTGCCCTGCATTAAGTAGCGCTCTTGGGAGGGGTCACAGATCTGCTGGTACACTTGTCATTCTCAGTATGCAGCCCCATTAGTTACGTGTAACTAACTCCCCAGAAACTGACTTATCCTTGGTTTTGTAATGGCTTCGATGCAAAAGAGAGCAACAAAGCAAAAACCAAAAATCCAAACTCCGTAGAGACCATGAGTTTCAAAATATTTTGGTTTGGTGAAATAAATGAGGGGTGAGCTGTGGCCAGCTGACAGTTGGCGGCCTCAGCAGTGTCCCTGGGCCTGAACATCCCGCCTCCCCAGCTGTGGTTTGCTTTGAAAGTCGAATTTG